AAAAAAAACATGTAAATTAGGCTGTGGGCAGTAACTCATGCCTATAATCCCAGCACTGGGAGACCGAGGTGAGAGAATTGCCTGAGCCCACGGGTTCGAGACCAACCTGGTCAATTTGGCAAGACTTCATCTCTATAATAAATCAAAAAATTAGCTGGGTGTGGTGACGCATACCTATAATTCCAGCTACCTGAGCTCTTCAGGTTGACACTGCAGTGGCCTTTGAGGGTGCCACTGCACTCCAGCCTGGGCAACAAAGTGAGACTCCAACTCAAAAAAAATAAATAACTTAAATTTCAGCCGGGCTCAGTCGCTCAGCCCACGGGCTGAGATGAATGGATTGCCTGAGCCCGAGGGTTCGAGACCCGCCTGGGCAACTTGGTGAGACCTCATCTCTACAATAAATCAAAAAATTAGCCGGGCGTAGTAGCGCACACCTGTAGTTCCAGCTACTTGGAAGGCTGAGGTGGAAGGATTGCCGGAGCGTAGCTGGTCTAGGCTGAGGTGGCCGGGATTGTGCCCCTGCACTCCAGTCTGGATGACGGAGTGGGACTCAGACTCAAAAAAAAAAAAAGAGCACGCAATAATACTCGAGGCATCATAGCCTATAATCTAGGTGATAACATCTAGGTCGCTTTGACCTAAAAGCAGAAGTATGTTCTTAGACTAGGGACAGTAAATAAAGTAGAAATCAAGAGGCATTTACAGGACTAGGACAACATGACAGATGAGCATTCAAGATAGAGTCACTTTTCTCTCCACAGTGTGGCGCAGGAACCCGTGTAACTCAGTCCTGCCCTGGGAGTTAGAAATACGGGGGGCGGGGGGCGGGCTCGTTGGCTCAGCATGTAATCCCCCGCGCCTTTGGGAGGCTGAGGTGAGAGGATTGCCTGAGCCCGCGGGTTGGAGACCCGCCTGGGCAACGAGACCTCATCTCTACAATAAATCAAAAAATCAGCCGGGCGTGGTAGTGCGCGTCTGTAGTTCCAGCTACTTGGAAGGCTGAGGCAGAAGGATCGCCAGAGCCCAGCAGGTCGAGACCGGTGGCCGGGAGCGGCCACTGCACTCCAGTCTGGGCAACAGAGTGAGATTCCAACTCAAAAAAAAAAAAAAAAGAAAGAAATACGGGGTTGGGGGGCGGCGACACGTAACAACACAGGGGGTTTCTGGCCCCAAACGAGGGAAAGTGAGGACCAGTAGGAGGCCCAAAACTTCACATGCACAAAACCTACTTGTGTGACTAATTCTGACTTGTACCCCACATCTCTATAATAAAATAAAGCTTAAGAAGAATATTCTAGTATAATATCTTCTAAGATTTGGACATTGAAGATATCTTATAAATATGTGTTGAATTAATGAATAAATGACTATTTTTAGTTACCAAAAAAAAAAAGTCTCAGACCTTCCCCAGAGCAGTTGATATTACATAGAACCCCCAGAAATTCTTGGTAAAATGGACTTTACAGTTTGAGAAGCACTGATCTAATATGCTATCAGGGAAGCTATCCTGTGCTTTTTACTTTTTACCCTTTACACTAGATGTCCTTGGCATTACAGGTGTTTCCTTTGAGGTTCC